TGGACTCAGTCATTGAGGAAGTTTCTCATTTAGAAATTAACTGGTTAAATAAATAAGATTACATCAACTCCTTGCTGTAGTGTAAAATAATCTGCACCTATTAAGGACCAGGAATTGTCAAAGTTTTTCAAAAATATTACACAAAAAGAAGGGCACTTTTATGCATTCTGTTTGGGCAGATTTCTGAATATTATCTGTAAAGTAGCATAACAACCCTAGAATTTTAGTGGAACTAGAGTTATACATTTGCTGCAAATTACTAGCACCTCACCCCTAGTCACCCAGAGAACGAGCTGGCAGAGTGTTTGATTTTCATGGTCAGAAATTTTAAAATAAATAAGTTAGCTCATTGTCACAGCTGGAGAAGGAGAGGAGATTAGCCACAGGCTCTCTCAGTGCTGAACATGATGAACAGCTGGCTCCAGGGTTCATCTACTTCATTCTCATGCAAGGCCAGAGCAGACTGAATAGCTGCAAAACAGGGGCCTGAAAAAAACAAAGGCCATTTTTCTAGGTGTTGTATCCCCGTACCCTTCTCTCATGTCACACTTGCCAAAATGAAGGACACAGTGGTTCCAAACATTAGCTGGCAAAAGGGCTGGCTAATGAGCCACAGCTCACGATGAGTGCCCAAAGAACAAGCAACGTCTTTTCAAACACCAGTGCTTTTTCTGAGCATTAGTTTTGGAAGGATTTAAGATTTTTATATTTGAGAAACTAAGGGACAGTTTCCCCCAATGAACACTAGCATAGGAAGTTTTCTGATGAAGCAACAAAAGGCCCTTTGGATCAAGGTCAGTAAAAGTGGAACTACCATTTATACCACTTCACCATCTCAGACACTCTGCAAAACAGGTGATTGTAATACTGACAGTCCTAAATAAACTAATTAGTTTTAACAGTGCCCAACACTGATTTTAGTTATTGCCACAAATGAAGAGCTACATTGTAGTGGGCTGTCACCCTGTTCTGCTTCATGGGAGAAGGAATTTCACAGCAGGAAGGCCAAATAAACACACTTATACTTCCTGGGCCAAGGTACCCTGAGATAACATTTTAAACTGTACCAATTAGGTAGCTCTGCTGCAGTCAAACTATTCCCTGCAGAAACACTCTGGACATCAGAATCATCTATAGCAAGTGTGTGTGTGCGCCTTCTGGGCTCTAACTGTTTCAGAAATACCCATAATATTCTGTTACTCCCCCTGCACATCCACCCCAGCCTTTCCTCATCAAGCTGAGACTGTCTCCTGCAGGTGGCATCGGGGCCGCAGAGCTTCCCTGGCAGCTCCCTCCTTGCATCGATGGGCACAGCTCCCATGTGGAACAGACCAGACCTGAAGGGGTGTGGGTAACTCCACACAAAATGGGTGGTTTGGCACTAATCAACCAAGCTGAGTCTAGAATGGCACAATTGCAAGATCACTCCCAAAACCTCAGTGAGAACACTGTGCATGCTAGAAACGGCACAGCAAAATACCCAACCCTTCTATTCCCAAGCTTTCTGTTAAACCAGGAGAATTTCAGGTTGCCAAAACACAGGTGCAGTGCTATTTGAGATGTCCTCTGGCTCCAGCTGCCACCCGAGAAGGGGGTGCTCCCCTGTAGGTCCTATGTCATATCGCCAACCTCATGCAAGTATCTCAGATACTATTTGACATCTAAAACACTGGTAGAGGTGACATTTGCAATCAGTTGCTTCCCTACTATGCTCCTCATAGATATTATTGTTCTTTGTGTGTTCACTTTTTGAAAGCTTGGCAGATGACTGAATAATACCTTCCATGCATTTTGTTCTCAAAGTGATTTTCTCCTGCAGAATTTCCAGAGAAACATCAGCATTCAATAAGCCCCTTTTACTGCTGGCTGAGTGCTCTCTGCAGACACTGGCAGGATGACTCTTCCTGAACACATCTGATCAGTGTCATATATCAGCTGTTCTGTGGTGGCTCTACCTAATTCTACCATCGTTATGCAGCTGATTAAAGCTGTGAAAAATATGAAGCATGCAAAAATGGAAGCAGAACAGCACACAGCAGACAATTCGCTCATGCCCTGCCTCTTTTTTTCCTGCCTATCTACCATCAATATCCTACACACCTTCCCCTCTGCTTGTGAAGACAGGCACTCTCCTGTGTGTTTCCATTCAGCTCAGAATCAGTTAGGAAAGCTAATGAATAGCAATGCAGCTGGCACCGTGCAAGAGAAGTACTCTTCCCCTCCCTCTGCCCTCCAGGTATCTCTGCTTGGAGTAGATGATACAAACGGTAGCTCTCCTCGTGGGCTAACCAGGCTTGCCAACAGGCAGTTTTGATGATGGCAGTTTCCCTAGGATATGAAGACGTTTTGATCCTTTTGCTTTCCCTCCTGCCTCCTCTGCTTGCCTACGGCTGCCATCCCTGCCTGCACAGCCTGGACAGCACATCAGCAGCGCAGGCGCTGGCAGGCGGAGGGGGCAAAACCAGTTTGCTACAGGGCTGGAAACAGGTTCTGTTGGCCCCACAATTAACTACTGAGTTTCTGCCTTTTGTAGGAGCAGTCGGGATCACACCTTCAATTCATCCCACAGGGCAAGAACAGGAAAATTCTGTACTTGTACTGCTCAGGGCGAACAAAAAGAAATACCAACCCAGAAATGTCTATCGCCCGCCATACTGAAAATGGCATGGCCAGCACCACTGAACACAGAGAGACACCACTTTCAGCAGGGCTCCTGGTAGCTATATAATTTAAGTATTTTCTTATGGCTGCAGCACAGAATTAAACAACAATGGGCTTTAAGCCCACGAAGACTTTGAATCTCTTTGGACTGAAAATTGAAAAAATTATAAAAAAATTCTGACTGAGAGTTTGCTGTTGTGGAGTCTTTTGGGAGTGTTGGCTCCCATTTCCCCAGGTGACCTAGAGGGTCAGAGGAGCCATCCCATTCTCTGCTTCCCACCCAGTACAATATGTCTTTAATACTGCATCGCCAGGCAGAGCTTGGGAGATACAAATTGTCTGTGAGTCTGAACTAAACATACGAATGGGACATACAACATAAATGACAACTCTCTCCAGCTCCACAAGGAGCCTAATGGATTTTGTTTTTGTTAAAACATATCCAGTCATAGGTGAAGCTCTGAGTGGAAAGTTGAACCTTTCCTTCATGTAAAGCCCAATCTTTCAAAAACAATAAAGTCCCGGACAACCTTAGTTTTTGCAGTGAAAAACAAAACTTGCTCAGAGATTCCTCTGTAACATTTCTTTTGTTCAGTGCAGCCACGCTGCCAGCAGCACAAAGCAGAAGCCTACCTGCACATGCGATTATTTCAGTTTCCTCCAGATGCACAGGTACAGATTCTGATCGCTTTAAAGTGATGCCAAAGACAGTAATCTCTGATAGTACTGAAAGTCAGGACTGATAACAGGCAAGTTTAAGCATTACTCGTGTGATAATTACATAGTTGTCAAAAACAACAAGTTGGCAGCATGCAGAAAATACAAAGTTTGGAATACTCTGGGAAAGCAAAGATGACCTGCCATAGTCCATCATGCAGTTGAGCTCAGTGTAGTTCTCTAGGGAGCTTCTTACCAGGTGCCAAACAAGCACTTTTCAGAGAGCATCTATTCCCAAGCCTCCTGTCTCTACAAGTAACTGACACAATCTGCAATCGTGTATATTAACTGGGAGGTTTTTCCCCACTATCCACAACAGCATCAACAGAAACCCCTTCACTGCATACACTGAAGTACATCCAGAAGTTGTGACCAAGATGCCTGCTAGTTTCATGGCTAACCCCATCTCGGGTGTTGATCCAGCAAGGCATCAGCACTTATGCTGGCCTTTAAGCTTGTAAGACTCAAAGGGAACCCTGAAAAGTTCTTTCACTGGATAAGATCACTGAGATCAAGACGCAAGGCCCCTTCCTTTCCTCACAGTCTGGTCTCTCGCATGGGTGTGATAAACTACACACAGAAGTTGAATATTCACCACTGAAAACACTCAGTAGGTTTAGCAGGTGACATGAAGTGCTGCTGGGCATTTTACCAATGACCTCCATCTTAAAAAACACATCCTCATACTTTTTGAACTGCTCTTTTTCCTGCTGACTCACGAAAGAGAGAAGAAACGTCTCACGTCTAAAATTCAGTCATTTTGCTGGTGTGTACAGACAGTGCCTAAGATCTCAAATGCATGAGATCATTAGTCCCTGGACTGGCCTGTTACCACTCAAGAGGCCCACACTGACCATTCAAATGGGTTTTCAAAGGAAGACTCTAGCTGATGGCCAGAAATTCTTGATGGCTGCAGAAGAGTTACAGAAAAGGAGCAAACATTCTCCATGAGGTTGCAATTCCACAGAGATATGATGGACACATGAATAATTGTTAATCGTTTGTCACCATGGAATTTCTTGATATTTCATTGTCACATAAGTATTTATTGTAGTATCAGGCCAAAATATGGTTGCCTGAACTCTCCTGTTTACACACCAAGAAAAAAATAATACTGCTACCCTTCTTCCTGTGCTATCAAAATTACTTGTGTCCTACAGCACAAGAGATAGAAGTAACAATATCTAACAGTCACCTAATAAACCTGTGGAAAATTGCCAGAGTAGAGCATGCAGAGAGACTCTAACACATGTCCCAATTTACTCACACACCTTGTTAGCTGCCTGAAGTGAACTCTTTTCCCCACTCCTTGTAATTAATCAATATAAATATTTGTAGTGTTCACTTACAAATATGTGCACGAAAGTAAAAGAATGTATTTGATAATCTTATCTAAATGCTCCAACCAAACTAGAGCATTTTTAATGACAAAACAGGAATTATATTATAAATTTTTTTCCTTGCTCTTCCCTGCATGTACAAAATTGTACATGCTATATGCTTACGAAATTATGAGAGAGTGCAAAATTGTAATAGTACGACTACAATATCCAGAGCTGTATATTCTGAACATCTCCAAGCGAATAAACTTGAGAAAATGGGAGAGGGAAATCCATACCCACCTGAACATGATCTGTCCAATTCTCCTGAGTCATGGTTTTCTGAAAAGACAAAATTACTTCTGAGCCATCTTAGAAAAGGGAGAATGCAACATACAGCAAGCTGAAATTTAACACACCATCTTACACACTGGCATCAACTGTGATTGAGGAATGCATTCTGGAGAACACAGGAAACCTCTGCTTCTCATATGTCACCAGCCAGGGCATGGCAGAAAAACACAGCTTAGATGAAATAATTCAGACAACTGTTACACTACAGCACATAAGACAAAAAAAATCATATGCAATCAAAGTATATAGGCCATGGCAGGCCCTTACCCAGCAGTAGCCTGAACTCTCATTACCCAGAGCTGGGTCCTGGGCTCATTTGCAGAAAACTAATCACCTTCATAGCACTCCACAATGTGCAGCAGCATTTCTGAATTCCTCAAAGCTCACATGGTGCTCTCGCAATGACAAAGACATCACTGAGCGAAGGTGAAACAGGCTGTGATCTGGTGGAATGCATAGATCACTGCTGTTGCCTTTACCTCAGATTTGCAATATGTCCATAGACTGTTCACCCCAACAGCTAGCCCAGAGGAGGGCCATCCCCATAGGCTCCAGTAAAGGACATGATCTTGGGGATTATCTTCAAGGCTGAGCCTTCAGTATATAAAAATATACTTTTCTCAATAGCCAAGTCTTGAAAAATCATCTGGAATCATGAGGTCTGGAGAAGGAAACTGCTAAGTTAATATCCCCATTCCAGTATAGTTCAAAGCCAACTTTGGGCAAAATCTTGGGATGGGACTTACTCTCCACTCTGCCAAGAACACAGATGTCTCTGTATGAGATTGATCAGTCACCGAGGCATAAGCCTCACCCCCACTTCTGGCAAAGGTAACAATGATTACTAGTGCCACTTTTATGGGAAGGTACAAGAGCACACAGGGAGTAAGAGCCTCACAGAAAGCATTTTTGAGATATACAAGCATGTAACTTAAATAGTAGTGAAATAAAGGAACCATTTAATGGCTTAATACACAGCTGAGAATGGTAAACAGAGAACACCAAAGAGGTCTCAGAAGAAGATGTCCAGAAACAGCTGCCAAATATACCTTAATGGAAGTAACTGGCCAGCTTGGATACTTTAAATTAGAAAAATATTGTAAAACAAATGAAATGGAAGGCCGGAGAGAGCAGATCAAGAATCCATTCCACTCTGTTAAATAAATACACCTGGATAAATGCTTTCTACTCTGTCACTGCGGATGACCAAGCTCTCTAGAATGATGGCATCTAACATTAAAGCTTTGAGATGCAGAATGTTGAAATGCTTAATCCTCCCCAGGTCTTCTGTCAGTGGATCTGGCAGGCAGCAAAGACAGATCAGAGGCCTCACTGATGGATCAGGAGCTCTTGGAAGCAGAACTGGCTGTGCCAGAATGGCGTCATCAGATGCCCACCACTCAACCCCATCTTCACGTTCAAAGTACTGGGGGGTGTGGGATCAGCAAAAATGCATGCATCTGCCTTCTTCTTTCAGAACATCAAACAAATCCTCTTTTGAACAAAAGAACAGACAGTTCTGGAGGAGGTGTCTCATTTCCTGAAAACTGTCTCTCTGAAGACCAGATCAATAGTACTGTAGGAACATCTGAACAACCTGTTGGACTCTTTCAAAACTCTGTTAAAAAACCCTCTTGTATCTACATGGAGAAAGTCTTCTATGAACTGAAGATGAAATACCATTCCATGCTTGGCAAATACAGCCTGATAGTTCAAAATGCAAGAAATGGAAACATTTCTCTATGTTGTTCAGTCTCTTGTAGTCCTTGTCTTTCACTGTCCAATTGATAAACCTGGATACAAGTGCAAACTGTTTTCTCCAGAAAAGGTAGAATAAAAACTTACTCTCAACTGGTACAATCTGTCTTCAGGCAGAGGATAATGATGAATGCCAGACTATCAAGAGAAGCACCACAACTGCCCTGTTAACAGGAAGAGCAATGTGCTCCCCAATGCAGGGTGCTCAAGAGCATCCAAAGGGCAGTGACTTGGCTCAGTACACTCATCAGAGGGCAAGAGAAACCACAGTCAAGTAATTCTGCAGTCAACCTCCAAGCTGCCTCCTAGAAACCTGCTCCTTAGAAAGAATTAATGGCATCTTTTTATTTCTACAAGCCCTCAGTGCCAGGACAAGTACCAGCAATTTTGGAAAGAGAATTTGGAGGCTGGACGAAAGTAAAGTTAGTTCAAAGAGAGGCTCAGGAGCTGAAAGTACTATTATTTTGCTCAGCAGTAACAAAATTGTTAGCACAAAAAAAGCTTCCATGGCAGGTATGGGCCATATCTATCACAGCCAGGCTGCAAGTACCAAAACAAAGCACCTACAAACAATTCAGCTACGTGGAATGCTTAAAACTAGTGTTCTTAAAAAAAAACCTCAGTATGCAAAACCCCAAAAAACAAAACCAAGAAAAAACTCCTTAGCCACCATGCTCTGCTTATTTGAGATGACTGTGAGAAACTGAATGTATGGAGAGCACACACTGGCCTACCTACATGTGTCTCGGATCACTGCTGAGGACACTGAGGTGAACAAGCATCCAGCTCTGAGCAGTCATGGCACCCAGTTGTTAGAATATGAATGGACACACAAACTATTCACTCACAGAAAAAACAGGGCCCATGGCAGATCCAATGCATTTCTATGCAATAATAACCCCAACAAAAACTTGCTCACCTACTATCAATAAATTTCAGTCATGTCAATTATGTTATTCAAAATCCAAAATAAACAAAAGGCCTCATACACACACATGCCACACAATACAGAAACATACCTCAACAAACCTCTTGTAAAAGAGGTAATTCAGAGTTCTCAAGTGCCGCTGATTTATGACATTAGGGCAGAGAGCTAAAAAAAAAGAAAAAGACATTGAAGTATACAACATAGCTGAACTTCCTTGAAGTTTTACTGTCTAGACATTGCAGTTTTCTGTCCCCGATTTCAAACTCTGTATGTGGAAGGCAGGATACCATCACACTTGGAACAGACACACACATCATCAGCTTATCTAAACTATAAACTTATTTACACTTTCAACCATAATTAGAGATGCTAATCCTCAGCTACTGATACCTCTGGTTCTACCACCCTTGAACGATAAGATCCACTTGCTGGTTCCATATGCTCCACAGTCAATGACTTCACACCTTTAATTAGGTAGCATCCTCATAGATGCACCACCTCCAGTCTCTAGAGATTGCATTCTTTTTGATTTAATTGGAACCTGTGCTATTAATTCATTGAAACAGTTTTGAACATGTTACTCAGTATATAAACTTGTGGCTAAAGTTTATTGGATAAAATATATATCCATGAAAGAGAGTCCATATCCATTCACAGAGGGAAGTGACTATTGTTTTGCTGAGCTAGCAAGCAACAGTTGTTGTTATTATTTTTATTACTGTCATCTTCATTAGATATACCTCATTACAGCTGCAAAAAACAAGATCTTCACATAGCAACAAGAGATAAATGCAGAAGATAAAATACATTAACTAGGATTAGCATAGGTATCTGTCAGTTCTTGCTAGATGCTGGCATGCACGTATAGGGAGAGATTAACCAAAGCCTTCATTGGGGTTTCAGTGGCTAAAACCATCTCACTGGTAGTCAGAAGAAGCAGGACCAGCAATCAGAAACAGTAACAGAAAACAGTAAAATAAAAATTCTCTACGGCCTCCCTTGAATCAGCATACACCTGGAGAAACCAGTGCTACCGACTCAAAAGGCCTCGGAGCTTAGCACTCGCCATGCCCCACACATGGCATGCCCAAGGATTAAACACTGAGAGAACGAAGAAAGATGTCTGAATATCAGACCGTGGCATCAGAGGGATATGAACTGATGTACCACTGGCTACTGCAGCTTCTCAGAGTCTCCTGAAGTATCACTTCATAACTTGAACATTTCCATCTCAAATAGAAATGTTTAAAGCTGCTATTCTTAAGTTAATCTTCCACAGTGTAACAACATATACTTGCTCTCAAAGGATCTGAGGAAATAATTGCAATTATCCTGCAGGATATTATCCCAATAAATATGGTGATCTTTCCTCCGGATATTGTCCCAGTATCTGAAGATCATCAGCTCATGGAAAGCAACATGCTTTAAAGAAGGTAAGATGAACATAAAAATTAATAATATCACCACATAACTAAAAGATTTCAAAGCTTTTCAGAAATACAGCATGACTGCTCTAGGTCACCAAAAAATATTCATTAAACGTTTTGTTCTGTGAGCTTCTAGAGGAAATATCCAAAGCACAGGACTTGACAGAACTGAGGGATTTTAAGTACCCAGTTATCTGTGCAGAAAGTAGGACAGAGGAATGCAGATGGACTTTTTCAAGGCACTATTGGCATTTTCTATTCTGATAGAGGAAAGGAACTGAGTTTGAATCCAGTTTTCTATATTTTATTACAAAAAAACAGATTGAAACAAAGAACTAACTGAAAACATGAGAGTGAAAGGTAACTTGATAAGAGACAACGAAATGAAGAGTTTAAAGCTCTAAGGAAAGGAAGAACGGCAAAATAAAAACAACAAAATGGACTTCACAAAATCAGAGAACTGGCAGATAAGATTTAATGTGAAAATAATTTATAAGGGGAAAAGAAGTTAAGAAGAGCTGGCAATGGAAAAATTGGAAGTGAAGTAAGAGACCAACTGCTACATGAGAAGCTTTTATTGATTTCAAACACAGAAGGAAGTTAAAAGAACATGGAAACTGGATCACACACATACAAAAGAACAGCACAAACACATAAAATCAGAAAGTCCAAGGTAAAACGTGAGATGCAGCTACCAAAAGACATAAAGGCAAGAGAAATTCCAGATAGCCTTCTGGAGGGAAAAAAGAGTTCTTGTAGAGAAGAACTGGCATAGCTTGAATAGGAAATGGAAAACTTTCCACCTTGGAGGTCTTTAAGAAAAGGTTTCACATTCCATATTTATCAGAAATGACAGAAGGAGCTCCTTTGGCTTTGGGGCGGGAGGGTGACACAGGTGGTACTGCAGAGTCCTTGCCAGACCTTTTCCCTGCAGTTTCATGACCATCTGCACTTTATAGTTGCAGAAATCAAAGCGCATCAGGGCAGAAAAACTTACTCAAGGTCAAACACCTAGTTGAGTGAACAGGAGTCAGAAGTCAGGTCTCCTGAGACAAAACCAATGTTCTGTTGGTTGGAGCAAAAGACAATGTCCTAAGCTTTTCAGAACAGAGACCATCCTTCTATTCAGTGTTTGTACAATGGGGTTTTGGGATCATGACTGAGTTATGGAGCATGAGTGCAATACAAATGCTATAATGCTATGAAAGCACCTTTTTGAACACGTTAACTCTTAACCTGGCACTCGTACCACAACAGTGCTTCATCTGAACTACATTTCACATCTGGGACTGACTCAGAAGCAAAAAATCCAGTCTGCTCTCAGCTATCAGCAGAGAGTTAATGGCTATCAGTAACAGAGAGGAAGTAAAAATGGAATCTATTTGTCAGGCAGGGTATGAAACCCACAATACACGCTTATTTCACTCATGTAACATCCATAAGATATGTCTGCCGGGGATGTGGTGCAATGTATTTGTAGGTGTGGTGCGTGCCTACCATTCCCAGGCCATACGCGATGCCTCCTGAGCTGGGATGTGGACTCAATCCTCTCTTTACACCACCCTGAGAGCTTGACTTCCATTCACAGTGAGACTCCTTCACCCTGTCCTGGCAGAACAGAAGGTCCCAGACAAAGCATACTTTGTTTGGGGACAAAGTAAAGGAGACTTTTTTTAATAAAATCAGGGTACCTGAAATGCTAGAGGCTTTTACCCTGCTTTTACTGCTAAGGATTGCTGGGGAATCTGATGAGAAGCAAGCTGTTCATTAGTCTCTCAGAGTATTATGAAATTAGTCCCTAAATGCACATTAGTGGAGGGTAGGGCCCGACTCAAGAAAACCTTTTTGTTGTATCCTCAAAGATACATTAGTGCCTCTCATAAAATGCACTGTGCCACTACAGATCAGGGTCAGCAGTCCTCGAAAAGGAAGGTGAAACAGCAGAAGCCCCAGACTGCCCCTAAAGTCCTGACCTACTTGCTAGCTTTGCTGCCTGGAGCTGACTGGAAGAATAGAGAGCATAGCACAGGGGTTTTGATCTGCACCTAAAGGAAAAAATGCTCTAGTGTGGTCTTTAGACACGTGTCTGGATATGATGAACTCATGCTCAGAACTGCAAGGGTGGTGTCAGCTTTTCCAACAAAATAAATGCTTGGGAGCTGCTGGTCAGCTTGTCTCAGTCTAAAGCAGATCATATTCTACCACCTGTACTTCAGTAGACAAAAATGTAGCTGACAAGGTAAGGGCTCAGAAAGGACATTGGGACGTTCAATCCCCTTCTCCTTCAGCACCCTGACTCTGCAGCCACTGCAGCCTTCTGGTCTGGATGGCTCCTATCATCTGATGTCTAAGCCTAGAGGTTCTTCTCAGTCGCAGTGCTATGTAGAGATGTGCTGGTACTTAACATGAGAGCTAAAAAACTGAAGGAAAATCACCATGGAAGGAGGGAGAAAACAACCCTTGTAAAACAAATATAAAGGAATGGAATAACCTTCTGCTCTGTTTTAACAAGGAAAAGGTAAAAAAAAAATTGAAATTTCCTCTTTCCAAAGGCATTGCTGTGGAATTTTAACAGTTATTCCTCTCTCTCTAACAGAGCACCTTTTGCAAGTGCCTAGTGCAGACTCCCTTGAGTCTCTGCTGGAGCTCTCCCTGGTGACTGCCCTGCCATGCGCTCGCTCATCTGGCAGACCTGCTGAAGTTTGAGGACAGTTGTGACTTACCTGAGCAGAAGGCACAGCCTGTTGAGCAGCCCTCGTCTGCCCTCTGCTGCCCCAACACCAACGGAGTGATAACGCTTTATCTCACAAATCAATTCTGGGGCTTAATAAGGAAGATTCACACCAAATTGAAATTGAAGGTTAAACCACAAAGATAACTTGGTGGTCAAATGAAGGAAAATATTTCTCTTAGTTTATGCTAAAAAAAATATCAAATGCTATGGTAAAAACATGTTCATAGCATTCAAAACTTAAGGTGCTCAGCTAATTTATTACACTGCTACAAGACAAAAGCAACTAATTGTGCATTCAATTACCATCTCTCTTCTATCAACACCACTATTATCTGCTTTACTGTCACATAGGCAATAAGGTCCAATATATGAGGACAGTTGTACTTTTCAGAATGGTATCCTTTTTACCTCATACCCAATGAATTTTCAATAAAAAAAACCGCTGCACTCTCTGGCATAGTGGCTGTGCAAAAACAACAACAGAAAATTGACTCAACCATTTCAAACCTAGGTAGGGTCTGTTCCCTCATCTCTGACAACTGTTTTGACTGAAACTTGCATTTGTAAATCTAAGTCAGTCCCACAGGGTCTTCAAAGAGTATAAAGTAATTAGCCCGTAAAAGCTACAGGCTTGTTAAAGCAGAGCATACTGACCCATGTGTGAGAAAAGACTCTATAAAACTCTATTTCCTCAATCACACACCGTTTCTGCCCAACTTCTTCCTTCCCCAGTAAAGCTAATTAAATGGAATCTATACACAGTTTATTGGGACACCTTTGGGACTCAGCAGAAAATCTTCCACTTACCATGCACTCTTTTGTGTGTTAACAGGAATACTGGAATACAGTTCAGAAAAAGAAGAGGTGGACTAATTTAAGATGATGGCTTTTTTTTTTTTTTCCCCTGATATTTCAGATCTTTTTTATATTGGGCCATTGCCTACCTGGCCCTGAAATTTAATACTGGCAGTTCCAAGGAGTGCTTCAAATCTTAATGGCAGATCAAAACCTAAGTTTTGCTTAGAAGTCAGTGAAACTTACTGTCAGTGGATAAGAGTGAGTTTGGGTAGTGAAATATGAAAGTAGATTTGGAACTGCGAGAACTGAGTCACATACAAGTTTGCCTTCTCATACCAAGAAACCGTGTCCTCCTCCAGCCTTTCTCACCGAAAGCCACTTCCCTCTTCTGCTGCTGCTCTCAGCCTCTTTCAGCGAGTGGGAGTCATGAGTGAACAGAAGACAGAAAGCAGCAGAAGACTGCAGCATCCAACAAGCCCACAATCAGGTTAGGTAACAAGAACTGTGAGTTTTACCTCACTGCTAGCTTTTGGTGGAGCTGCTCAGAACAAGAGAAATGAGGGGGTTTTTTTACCTAGCCTGCTTCCTTTTTGTACACTCTTTCCTCACAGTCAGATTTACTTCCACTAAAGAATGGAGAAGGAACAACCAGAAATTCAGAGGAAGGGAGGGGAGAGAGGTGGGAAGAAAAGGAAAGCTATGTTATTCCAGCTGCGATCATTTCCCAATTCAGTTCAAGCAGGACCAACACTAAGGCAGAAATTCCTCTGTAGGCATTCATCCCCTTCCAAAGCATTTCAAAGGAGACTTAAGACAGCTGCAGTTTAGCAAAGTGTGAAGTCCTGCTCTGAATTACATGTGGTATTATGTAAAAAGTAAACACCTACTTTCACATATGGAACTATGAGAATCATATTCAACACTGGTTTTAGCTGCCCCAAATCCGGCATCTTGTCTAAATCAGTAGCCCACTTCCCCTCTCACGTCAAGAGAGGTGAACAGCCCTCTCCAGCAAGTGACTTCTCCTGCACTGTAGACACTGCAGTTTGCATGGAATAAACCACTCTTGGGAAGCACAGGCAGAAATAGGATCTGTATCTTTGTCAAGGAACATCCTCACCACTGCATGTGTGGTGGAGGACCAGCAAGCTTTGGCCGTTATTATTAGCAGTTTCAACATCTGGGACACCATCACCAGGCTGAGGCACACTATCACCCCACAGAGAGCACCTGACATCAACAGCTACATGCTCCTCTCCTTTTTTTTCATTTCTCAGGATTTTGCATGTGAACAGTTATATCATTTCACCCACATAGTTAATATCATACCCTTGTTGGAAAGGGGAACAACTCAATTCTCTTTACAGATCATAAAAGACCAAACAGCCTACTAAATGACCAACCTTGTAAAGGAGGAAAAAATACTGGAGACTAGGTAAAACTCCTGGGAAGGTTTTAGATTTTAAATAAATCACCCCCCATATGTCAGCTTTCACACCAATGAGCTAAGTTCAATTATATTTATTTACCATACAATGAGACTTTGTAAGGATTATTTTATTAACTTTTGAACACCAGTCTGAAGATGTGAAGACTAATATGCAATATAGTGTTGCTGCCAGGTGTAATAAGCCCACAATTTGTGGTTAGAAAACACTTTTGACTCCAAGAAAAGAGAACTGCATATCTTGGGCTGATGATGGAAAGCTTTACAGGTAAAACCTAACACTGCTCCTAAAAGGTGCCTGACACAAGGTCCCAAAGAGAAGAAATAAAGATCAACAGTTCCCACTAACAACCAAAGCAAAACAAACTAGATTTTATTAGATAATTGGTAGTGAAGCAGATCTATTCAGTGATGTAAAATGTGTTACTTCTCTCGGAAGGCTGCAAGAGCCTTAAAATTCCCTATCGCCAATCTTAGCTTAAGCAAAGAATACAAAGGGCTGTGAGGTTCCTGCTTCCCAAGGGTTATCTCTTCACAGCTGACCAACCCATAACTCAAGAAAACAGATCCTCAGATGAATAATGACTTGCCTCTTATGTGAGTGGAATGGAGTCATAACTCAAAGCTGACCATCAAGTGTTTACATAGAGCCATTCTGAGGTCGAGATTTATTTCGTATCATGGAAGCAGCAGTCTATTAGTCACAAGCACTTCATCCTTCGACAGCACAAAGTGATAATTCCCATAACTTACCAGCTTTGTTTTTCAATATCATTAATTAAACCCTGAAACTCCCCATGATAAATTACAGCAGAGATTCCTTGCTGAACATGGAAGAAGACAAATTGACTTCGTCTGTTCTTTATTGGTCAGATAACGCCACAATATGTTGCAATATCACATACCTGGATCTACGTTAAATCGGTCTAGGAGCCTGAAGACCAGCTTGCTTAGCATTTTGCGGTTAAATTTATCTGGTTTGTACCTGGACAGGCCTTGATATTGACTGTAAGCAAAAAAACAAAATCAGAAACATCTGTGGAATCGCCTAAAGTATGTTTTCCAAAGAGTAGGTATTTACCAGTAGAGATATTAGGGTTTGCTAGGTGCTGGTAAGAACAGTCCCTACTTTTTCCAAGTTACAGCAAAAAGCCAACAATATAATCACACGAATTTCCCAGTGAAAGACTGAAGCAGTCCAGAGTCTTATTTTTTTAAAGAAAGAGAAAGCAAGCAATTCCTTCTCGTGTTTTTTTTCAGAACTAAAACTGCAACTATTGCATCTACACCATGAGTTTGACTGTACTGTTGGCTTTGTGACTGACAGGAGCTATTCTAGTGAGAGGTAATTTATAAATTAAAACACACACGATTATTTCATGAGCACATGAAGGTTAACCACTTGATTTTCTGCCACTTCATCACAGTATTATCTTCCTGCAAAACCTGTACAACCGATACTGAAACTCACCCTTGTCTGCAGCAAAGCACAGGAGTCTGATTGCTACAACGTCCTGGAGGAAGCTTTGATATTGTTATATTGCTAAGATCTACTGCACAGGTTTCATTTTGCACTCCTCTCCTGGCAGGAACTAAGCATCTGTCAATAGGAATCATACCTCTGTCTTACAGGCTGAGGTGTTTGAGAAGATTCTGGCACAGGCACCAGAATTTCCCCTTTCTCAGCTGAAAAGTAAATATATTGTGCTCCATGATGCTGAGAAATGATCTTAGATAGACAAGCAGAGAACATACTGTCCTCTGACAGCAAGCTGGCCCCAGCTGTTCAGAAAGTCAACAAGCATTTCTACCTTGTGACGTCTCTGATATTAAAACCAGGTTCACACCATGTGTCCAGGATCTGCAAGAGCTTGCTCTGGAGCTCAGGATATTCTCCCACATAATCTTCCACCAAGTTAGTCTTATCTTGGAGCAGCAGCGGTGTACACATCTAGGAGAAGAAATTACATTTAAAGCACTGTGCCCTGCCTTTGATCACCACGTTCTGCAGACTGAGCACTGCAGCACACAGAAGGCACAGAAGAGGTCCATGACACTGCGGATGGAAGCCTGGCAAAAGGCTGGCCCATTCCCTGCTGCCCGGACATGGCCAGCAAGTCACAATCCCCCTGTTTAATCAACCAGTGCTGCCTAAAAGCATGATGTGACATTTTCAACACAAATATTAGCCAACACAAATGATAGGACATTGTCAACACAAATATTAGCAAAGCTTCAAAATAGCAAAAGCACTAAGCTCCATCATAGTGACAACCATCTGTCAAGAACACAGCCAGAATTTTTTAAAACTGACCGCAGCTATAGTGCAGTAAGCTCTAATGGGGTCTAACAAAATACACTGTCACCTCCCTAGATGTAAAGGTACATCAGCAGTGTAGCAGTTACTTCTTGGGAACAAAATAAGGCCTCAAGAGAAAGGCAGCACAACTTGGAGAGCCTTGATGGATCTCCTGCTTAACAAAAGGTGGATCTGATGACAGAGAAGCCTGCAGAGGAAATGACTCACCTTCTCCACATCTTGATCTGGCTGTAATTTTAGCTTAATACTCAGCATGGCTGCCTAGAAAATACAAAAAGTTGGGTATTTAGGAGAATAGCAACACAGTGGATAAATGGGCATTATTCAAAAGTGAAGTATACATGTTATTATACAAATTTTTAATGTTAATAAATTATACAAATTTATTTATTTATGTTAAATTTTCAACTACAAATCATTAAGTATTGGCCTCATACATTCCACTTAGGAATGTATAAGAACACTCCTGGCAGAGTTGCATATTCTGAGCAGCAGCATACTCTGGAGCAAAAGTTAAAGATCAAATTGTCTGGCAGAAAGAAAGAAAGTGCTCGGACAAAGTGAGCTAAGATGGATATTTTCTATCAAAATAATTTTAAAAAACACCTGACCCACCACATGTTTCTGAGTTAACTTTATCCATCTTGCTGTGCCTTTTACATTTTGTAAAATGGTTGCAGTTTGTGAAAGCAACTCAAGCTTTAAAAGACCCTTAAACCAAGAGGTCTTAGTTTTTGTAATTTCTGTGTAGCTCCACACTCAGAAAGATGGTAAGAACTGTATTCTTCCCTTTTGTAGTATCTACAAATCTTTGATAAGCCAAGACCTGCCATGTTCATGAATTAACTACAAATCAGTATCTTCTGCAGATGAGGAAACTCTGCTATGGTGAACTGCAGTAACTCAGACTGCAAGAAAAACTGGTTCAGCCACCGTCTATCCTACCCCAGCTTGGGGATTACAGAAGTATATTAAGCTCTAACTGTGCATTGCTTGGGAGGCATATAAACTAATTGGGATTTTAAGCAGTTAATAGTGTCTAATTTCTGTAGTGTGTGAGAATACTTGGATCTCAAATACAGAATAAGCATATAATGGCTTCCTTTAATAGAACATATTGTTCCAGTATATAGAGTAATAAGAGCGAGGAGCCTTCTGGTGCATTTATGTGTTAGTATTGACGCAGCTGTGAACTAGGTAATAAGGATGTTTTACATGAAGTGCCCTGCTAATTACTTTGCAAAGTTAGGCTGTATTTTCCAAAACGGTTGTAAACAGTGTTTGAAAACACAACTTCTCTGACCCTACTGCAGCATGCACGTAACTCCAAGGAACAACAGGACACAGTATGTAATCAACTGAGTTCACAAATGTCTACTTACTGAGATGAGGATAAAACCAGTGTGTTAGGGCTTAGAGGAAAAGCTCTTATCGTCTCAACAGGTTTCTCTGCTATCTGTGATTGATTTTGCTTTGAGAGAAAGATCATTAAAATGATGGATTTGTTTGTCAAAATAGTTGCATTTTAAAATTGTGTTTTTTGTTAGAATATGTAAACAAACATAATACAGTAAAAAATGTGCATTCCTCTCAAGTAAACGCAAATCTCATCATTAACTTTATCTGCACGAAACCTTTATCAAAAAAATGTAACCAGAAAAATAACCTATGTGGGGGTAGGAGCATACCCTGAAACACATTTTCGTTGATGTCTCCCAGCATTCAAATGACACCTCAGCTTAACTCATCACTGGAAGTACATGTTCTGCAGACCCAGCCAAGCAACACGGACAAAACCTAACAGCTCATCCGAGCATTGCTCAAAGCAGAAGCCATGGATTACATTACCTTCTGGGAAATTCATGCATGTATTTCATCCACTGCATCAAAGACTGATTGTACAAAACCAAAACACAGCACATAAGTTCAATCATTAAGTCTTACTGTCCAGAAAGAGCAGAGATACCCAGTGGGAAAACATTTTTTTTTCTTGTGCTTATTTTGGTTTGGATTTGGTTTTGGGGGGGCTTGGGGTCTTTTGTTTGTTTGCTTGTTTGTTTTGTTTTGCTTTGTTTTTTGTTGTTCTGGTTTGGTTGGTTTTTAAACACAAAAGGAACACTGTGTCACTGACAGTCCAGGCTTTATCTCAAAAAGAAAAATCAACAGAAGAGCTTTAAGTGGCAAAAGCAGGAACTAACATTAATGCAGCGCCTGTATGCTACAAACCAGATACTGTATAGAAAGGCACATTACCATTTCTCAACTCGGCTAAATCTTCAACCAAATCTCTCTTACACCAGACTTTATAACTATTCCACCTGTTTAGAGGCTAATATGCTACTCTGCTCCACAAGCGTTAAGTACCTTTTTTCTCAAATTATCAGATTAACATCACAAAGTTCAAACTGAGTAATTATTCTCATCAGGCATACAAGTTGAAGGTTGCTACTTCTGTTTTGGACCTGAAGAAGGGTTTTGGGTCTCAAAAGCTTTGGCAGCTGGTTTTATTTTCCTCCCAGATATCTTAGTTAGCTGAATTAAAAATAAAATAAAATATAAAGACTTGCAACTCTCAAAATCTTGTTTCATCATTTGATCTCATTAGTAACTTTTATTAAACATATAATCCGTTAGTTTTAACGTGCAAGCATACAGTAGTTTCCATAATAGCTTTTTAATGTTCACATGCATGTTCAGATTAATCTAATTGCAGAACTGTTATCTAAATGGCATAGTTTTATCTCCATCTCTATTAACAATACAGGTGACTTAATCAGATGAACATGGGCTGTGTCGGGTTAGGTTTCCCTCTTTTACTGGATGTATATTCTACCCTGTACCAAAGGGTGTAGAGCAACAAATATTCATTTAGACCAAGTGTGGAGAGACAACACTTTCCAACCCCAGCCGTGGCAGACCCAGATCATGCCACCACCGCTGCTGCAGGTCAGAGGAACTTCAAACAAATCACACAGGCTGGTTTTTAACATCATTTTAACATCACCCAGCTAACTCAGGTGACAGAGAAGTCAAATTGTGCTGCTGGCAGAAACTTCCCGCAGCAGGGAACACTGTCAGCAGCGGGGCAGCAGCCTCGTCCGTGCACCAAACCAAACAGGGAAGGAGACACATGGCCTGGGTCCTAGGAACAAACAACCAGGCTGGATTGCAGGGTGTAGTTACATGTGCTGGTTGGCTGAATAGGGAGGACAACTGAGATAAAATCAGCGTGTTTACAATAGTAATAATAAGAGAAGAGATATGAGTAACTGTAATAAAGATGAAAGTGTTTGGCAGCTGTGTCTGTGGTCTCAACTTAGAGCTATTTTAAGATTTTGTTTTGTTATTATCATGTTTTGAATTGTTTCACTCCACAAACAAGTTTTGTGTAAAACGACCCTATTTTTAACAGTCTGTTTATAGATGATAAGATCTCCAGAAAAGCAACACCTCATTCACAGACTCATTTTGTAGTTAGAAAACAAACACTTCAATTGAGCAGACAGCATGCTGTAACTGAAATGGTGAGAAACCCCCTCCCCACCCCAGAAACACGTTTTTTCCCATATGCAATGCTGCACTCTCCAAGCTGTGCTGGAAGACTAGCCAGGGTAGCTGGAAGCTAGCAATCATGTTAACCAACTGCAGATCCTCACTCAGGCTGGATCAGCAGGGCAACAAAGATCCTAAGCACCAGATACCTCCCCCACTTCACCAGCTTATCAATAAACAGAAAACCTAGCTACCACACAGGAACATGGAAAAGCTCTGGTGAACACTAAGATAATGGCCAGCTTATCAGGGTCTACTCACCCTCCCCCAAACTCTAGAGAACATGTAATAGTCTTGACTGATGGTACAAACAGCCTTTTCACAAAAATACATTTCATACATAGGGAGTTTCTAGCATGTAATCTAACAACAGCAAAGAATTAGCATTATGAGCATTATTGCTACACATAAAAGTGTTTAACCTATGCTAAAACCCTTCTGCCCCAGATCATAACAGAAATATGGGGAAGGTTGCTCCCTCTCTTGCCTTGCATCCCCCAAGTATATATATAGGACAGGTACATGATGAAGCCACTGCTTAGTACAGAGAAAAGGTGATGACCCATTGCCTGATTCAAATCCCGCCAAAGTTTGTGAGTCTTCTCATTGTTCTCAGGGAGCTCTAGGTCATTCTCTGATTTAATTATGGTGAAAGTAAAAATCATATTTGTACACTTTGTAGCGGTTTTGTTTCCCAAGGTTAGACACCTAAAAATATAGCAAAGGAGGATTGGATGAGGATGGGTAAGAATTCAAAGCTGGGCAATACTACATTAAATTATATCTAAAATGCATGTAGATGCACTGACCACAGGATGGGCGAAGTTACCCAAACCTGATGCACTCAGCCCAGACTGTGAGCACCAGACCACTCATATAGTCATGCAATTGCAAAAGTATGGGAAAATGGGGAGTGTTTTGAAGTGAACACACAAGCCCAGAACACCCTGCACCAATACCTGGTCCTCTCTACTTGTTTTGAATGCAAGCGACTGTCTCATCTGAAAATGACTGTTCTTTCCATATACAGTACGAAGTGCAGGAAGCCACACAAGATCTTATCTGCAAGGGCATGTGCACTTGGGTGGTGTCTACACTGACAATTTGGGCAATTCTCCCACGGTGGGGTTAGCATCAGGGGAATAACCTTTTGCTAGTAGCACTGCTTGGAGTGATGATACAGGACAGACACAAATGGTTTCTGATGACTCCTGCGTTACTTAGCTTTGCCGCAAGCAAGTTTGGACAACACAAAGGTAAATATGCCTGTGACTGACTTAGTGTAGTATTTCTGAATCAGTGGTGAAGGAATTTCTGAAAACCCATAGAATAGACCAAACAACAGAACGAGACTTTGCAGAGGAGGATCCAATGTCAACTCTAAGAAAATCACAGTGATCAAAGCCTGGATACATAATAATGGTGGAAATAATTGAAGGCACACCATATATTAACCATTGGGAACATCTGTTTTGTGTTTTGGAATCACTCATTTCAAATTTGAGGCTATTCAGCTTTGCTCAAACTCTCAAACTCTCAGAGTGCATCACTGCATAGCGTATGACATCAGGTTAGATGTTTAATTACTTCCTGCTTAAAGAGCACACAATATACACAGCTGTCTTCAGGAAGATCTTCAGAAACATAATAAAAAAAAAAAAAAAAAAAAAAGAGATTTCCCAGGTCCACCTTCAAGAGAGCATGCACATATTTTGTAAGGAGTGAGACTGTCAAAATGAAGTAATGACATGTTACTCATATCTAAAGAATCTGAGGTAGAGGGACAGAAGTAAAAGTCAAGGTTGGAATATGCATGTGCACAGGTGAAGGGAAGCGGGAACTGCATCGTTACAAACGAGTGATTCTCCAGAGCACTGCCCAAGCTTCCTGCGCACACAGGCCACGCACCTTCACCAGATCCTCCAGATCCAGACTCTGTATGGCTAGATCTGCTGCACATTTGCACCTCTTCTCCAAGAGCCTGTTTTCTTGACAAGAACCCAGAAATGCTGGCAGTAGGAGCAGAATACTACCATCTGAATTATTATTTCCCAGCAACACTCAAGCCCCTTCATAACCGCTTCACCACAGACATCCTCTAGCAGAGGCAGCTCCAGAAGACATGGTGTTTGGGAGCAGGCAGCAGAGCGGCCCATGGCCCATGGGTTGGCCACCTCTGTTCTGGTGTGCCATGGATCTAGCAGGCGATGTGCCACTAAAGCTGTCCTTCAGCAGCAGACTAAGGTAATAGGAAAAAAGGGTTGAGACTGACATCATCTTCTTTACATGAGAAACATCCTCTGTAACATTCTCCTTGGTTTTCTTATTGATTATTATTTTTAATTTAAAGGAAACAAGGAAACTGAAATGCACACACTTTAAAATACAGCAACAGTTGAACAAGCCTTTGTAATTAAGGTGGTGAATAGGGAAAGAAGCAATATCAGAGACATTTTCACTGTCCTGAGAACAGCTCAAAAAAGTCAGAGTGAAGAAATGCAAAATCTGAATATCCGTTAATGTGCTTAATCAATCTTAACACTGATCTGTATTGACAGATTTGCAAAAATACACCATGTGTAGTCAAGCATAATGTATGAAGCAGGACTACAAACAATAACATCCCTGAAATTGGTGTTCAAAATATCACTACACTGAAAATTGAAAGTCATGTTGGTGATTGAACTATGCATTTCTACACCTCAGCATACGTGTACTCCTTTAACTCTTTGGTCAGCCATCCTTTCTACTGAATTATCAAATTACTTCTATAGTAGTATGTATTGCTGACAAAAACTTTGAAATCTGTGTCTACAGAGCTTTTTCTCTGGATAGTCCAACTTCTTTTATGACAAATTTTAACAAATTAATTTTAATAAATAATCCATATTACCTGAATTGAAAGAGTAAACATTAACTGAATTTAACATATAGAATCAACCTTCATTATTTGTTGAAATTAACAGATGAAACATTAGTAGAAAAAATATACACTGCTTTTGAGAACAGGGAAATCTGGGTGGACAACAACCAAAAAAATATTAAAAATTAAATACTCCCTGTCCCACTAATAGCTTAGTCCAATATTCTTGTTTAAGAACTAAACTATTAAAGGGGAGAAAAATGCTGCTAGTCACCAATACAGAGAAATTGAAGTGGGAGCTCTCTCAGGCCCAAGAATATTTCTGGTTGTCAGAGGCTAAAAAGATTATTTATTGTTTCCTTCCTAAATCCAGCTCCACTGCCACCTGTTCAGAATTTACTATAAAGCTGTTAAACAAGACGAGAACTTTGATGCTGACTGTGAAAACAAGTTTCACTGTATCTGACCCGAGCAGCACTCACTACTGATCCAGAAGCAAAGGAATTTGATTTTTTTCTTTAAGCACAGCTATCTTTTTACCTTTATAAGCTGTTTAAAAAAATGTAAATAAAATAACTCAGTGGACAATAGAGGGCATTCATCCCACAGAAAGACAGCCGCCACCCTTAGACATGAAATATCGCAGCACATTAAGTCATGAGACCCCGCTAATCAAAGCTGACAGGGCACTGAATGTGATTTCTGCTGAGACTTAGCGATATCATGGGGCACTGAAGCATGCACAGCCTGCCAGACTGCCCCTGTTCATGTGACAATGGCTTTTATTCCCGAAAGGGGCCTGCGAGTGACAAGAGTCCCCTTTGTCTTTAGGCTCCTGTATTCGCAGTGCAAGAGAGGTTCATTCAACCAGCCCCAGACACTCTTTGAAAGGCTGAAGTGTAACATAAGATGACCATGAAACACTAGCTTGCCTTCTGCCTACCCCTCATTCTTCTCAAGCACAGCCTGGCCTATTCAAGGGCCTCTCGCAGACTCGCTCGCACTGCATTACCCCCGTCTGCTGAATCCCCGCATTGTCCCGGCCTCACCAGCAGCCATCGCCCTTCCCACAAAGCCGTCCCCCCGGCAGCCCCGCCAGGCTCCGGCGCAGCCCAGGCCCCGGCCCGGGGCCGAGCCGCGGCCCGTGGCTTCGGGGCATTTCTGAGGAGGGGACAAAGCTGCCACATTTCACCTGACACCACCCGAGTGGGAATGTTAAACCCTGCCGTCTCTTCCCGTGGGCCCACGAAGCGCAGACCTGGGAGCCCCTCGCACAGCTCCAGCGCACCCTGCAAGGCCCCGCGCTGCCACACTCCTCCAGCAGCTGCAAGCGTCATTCACAAAAGAACGGATGAAACCCCCAAACAGGCCAGACGCCTCAAAAAGCCACTTGGTGTCCCCGCTTTATTCCTTTAGCTCCCACTGTGACCTTGTTGTTCTGCATCATGGGAGCACTGGTGCCGTCCGCTGGCCAGCGCTCCCCAGCATCGCAGCCAAGTCACCTCCACCTGCGCCACCTCCCACCAAACCCACCCCTGCCCGTACACAGCTGGTGATTTTCCTGCCGCCCCACGACACCTGCACCCTGCCCCAGCAGGCGGCCCTTCCAGCAGCTCTCTGCAAAACCCCTGGCCGCTGTGATTCACAAACGGGTTCAGCTTTTGACCAGCTCTGCCACAACAGGGCACACAGCGAGGGCCACATGCGCCTCAGAAACAATCGCCCTGGCTGCTCCCAGGGATCTCATTTTCTGCAGAGATCTCTCTCCAGAACCTCTGTGAGCAGAGCAGGGGACCCCCATGGTTTGCACACCACGGTAGGAAATGCATCAACAGAGTTAAAGGGAATAATGCGCTCTAGAATAAATGCCTGGTGTCTTACTGTAAACACAGCAAGAAAATAAATAATGACAACAAGGATTTATAAGGATTTCTGCCCTTTCAGGTGAAAGACAGAAAAGCCAAAAATCCTACACGCTAATCTGCTTTACTGCCCTATCCAAAATACAGGGAAGAACAGGATGATCAGACACCCCACACCCCACTGCAAGTGCTCAGAGCCCTAGTTCCAGGTTTTTTGGGGTTAGTTGATGTGAACTTAGGTATGATCCATTCCCAAAGGCAGTAAAAGATTTCCTGTTGTTCATGAAGATAATTCTCTTCATCCTTCTGTCAACAAAACAAAACTAGAAGAAAGCTATGGCTGAGGATAAGCAACAGTTGAGTTTTCTTCTTCTTCACGCTGGGAATGACTAGTAAATGAGCTTTTCTGTGGAAGAAAGAGCAGAAAAACAATTCCACCAACAAAAAATTTAGGGCTTTCCAAAACTAGGTCCAGAAAGAACTGCATTTCTAATGAAAACAATAAATATCTCTGGAACCATGAACTTAAAAATCACACTTGAATATAGTCAAATACTATTTCTGTTAGGATTTTCAGACACTCATATTCAAGAACTTACTGAGGGAAAGAGTAAGTTTCAAGTAGCTACCTGTGATTTTCTAATCAAATGTGAAATATCCTTGTTTCAATATTCAAAGAAATCCATGAGAATGGAATTCCATGATCTTACTTGGGAATCTGGCTTTACTGAAGAATAAGATTTAAAAAATGCTATTTGTTTGGGGTTTTTTTTTTTTGCTAAACAAAATCATGCTGTTCTACACCATCAAAGTGAACCACCTTCCTCTGAGAAAAATAAACCTATGTTTTTGCCTTAAAAAAAAAAAACAAAACCAAAACCAAAAAAAGGCATTAACAGTATTGTACTTTGCTCATGAGAACACTCGCAAGGTTATCAAGACATCACAGTGATGTCAGAAATGTTGCAAGTACTCTAAACCACAGAGTAAAATATATCAAATTCTGGGTTTGGTGAACTCCTGCCAGTGCCAGCCACTCAAACTCAAATACACAAGTAGTAACACATTTTGAATATGAGCCTCAATGGTAAAGTGGCTTCGAAAGCCCTCAAACTGAGAACCCTTTCGTTAGGGTAAATCACGTGGGAACAGAGATTTTCTAAACCCTTTTCGCTGCAGGCAGATTGGAGATAGCACAGCAGGTCTATGATCAACTACTAAAATCCCTTCTTTTCTTGCCAAGGACAAGGAAAACAAAAAAAGAACACAACCATCCCCTTAAATTCTCCAAATTAAACCCTATTAACCTATTACTTTCAAAGGTCAGAAAAGGGGTGGAAGAAGGATTCACTGGCATTCTGTACTCAGCCATTAGAAAAAATGAGGTTGAACACAGCCTACTCATGTACATGGGAAGACCATGCTAAGCTGTACCATTCACAGTGTGCAGCTGCTGTGATGAAACGGAATTCACATTGAAATGCATCCAAAAAAGGACACAGACATTAACAGAGAACTAGAGAGCTGGGTAGGTAAATTTATTTGAAAGACATGACCCACCTCTTTGTAATCGCCCTTGTGATAAAGATGACTGACATGTCCAAGCAAAGAGTTCCGGTCTGCTGTATGGAGCTGGTAAATGCTAATCAGAGGGTCAAGAAGATTAGCTGGGCACTGGGCTAGTATTCTGAGTACACGAGCCTGCAGCTCCTCCAGCTTGATGCCATACTAAATAAAAAAAAAAAAAAAAAAAAAAAAAATCAAACACAGATTTAGTAAAGATGGCTACAATTCAATGGCAGTTGAAAATGCAGCTTGTTTAAACAGTGCAATAAGCCAATTCCTTGGGAAGGGATTCTCCAATTTCCCCATGGAGTCTGCAAGCAGAAATCAGAACAATATGATACGCATTTTTTTCACAGCATCCAATTTAAAAACATTAAATGTTTGCGGGATAATTCTGGAAAAGGCATATGGCCTTGTGCAAAAGTAAAATATGAAACTGGAAAAATGCCCTCTTTTACTAATACAGCTATTTAGAATTTCTCCCCTCTAGTTCCCAGCAGAAAATCTTTGAATCCAGCAACTCTCCTCAGGGAGATCTCACCTATAAGGCATAAGAATTCCATTTTCATTCCCAGGCTTGCTCCTGGGTGCTAGAAGGGCAGGAGAAGCAAAAGCAACATCAAAAGATGCACAGATACAAGTATTAATCCTTGTGTTCCTACATGATCGTTCTCTTATGACATAGGAATTTCAGTGTCAGTAGCACTTCACTGCACTTTGCAGATACCATAACGGCAGAAGTCAACTTCTAAAAAGAGCCATTTGGAAAAATGGGAAATTAAACAACACAAATATAGAAGTATCTTGCTGTTCAGAGCCAAAAAGAGAATATCTCAGTAGGTCAGAATATATGAAGGCATAAGGAAAGGCAAACATTAGAACGTATAATCTGATGACCCAACGTTACAAATGATTATTCAGCTGCTGAAAAGTCATACTGTTACCATTTTTTGCATTCCTGATGATAAAAGCTCCCCACCATATGGCAGGAGTTAAGCAATCATACAGTGACTGGCTTCTATTTGCAGAACTGGAAGAATATGCAGAGTGGATTACTGCAATTGGTTTTATCCTGACAGCAGGGATGTGAGTTCCAGTGGGAAAGCCTCCAGCCCGGCAAAGGCTGCAAGATCAACGCTTGATCAAAGTAGTTTGATCTGGAAAGATGGAAATCTCATCTTGGAAGGGGAAACAGCTCTCACATCACAGCTTCTAATATTATCTCATTTTCAGGCCAGCATACAACAGGTAACAACACCTCAGTACAAATTTCACACCATGTTTGTACAAGACTACAGACAGGACGCTGGGCTATGGAATAAAGTGAAACTGGGGACACTTGAGGGACATAAAAATCAATTGCCCTCTCCTTTCTCCTGACTCTCTTGCTCTCTCTTTTTCTAACCTGTTGAACAGCAGGATGCTCTTTTATCCAAAGCTGCAACTCAGTGGTGATGTAATACCCGAGGGAATGCCCTTTCCCCTTCCAGTCACTGCTGCTCTCCAGCATGTCCAGCAGTCCTGCCAATGGGTCCTCCAGTCCTGCAAAGCCCCGCCTGATTTCTTCCTTGAGCTGCTGCGATACAAAAACACATTGTCATGTACAAAAAGATTAGTGAATCCTCCCTTCCCCCAGCTGAACACAAAGCTTTATTTTTTTTAATTTAATCTATTCAGAGAGGTAACTGTTGCTATTCAGCCACCATCCGCGCCTCCAGTGACTTTTCATGTCATTACAGATTCCTTCATGGCTCACTGCACCTCAAACCCAATGGGAAAAGCAGCAATTGTCCACACTAATTATCCCATAAAGACAGAGAAGTTGTTCTGTGGGGCAGACAAAGGAGCTTAGGATTTGGGGGAGGGGGAAAAAAAAAGTGAGCTGGAAAAAGGGGTGTTATTAGGAAAACAGCAATATTGAAGGTAGATAACCGGGCTCAAAAACTTGCTCATCTTCTAACAGACCTACAAGTAATAAGGCGTATAAACCCCTCCTCCTCATTCTTGTACCAAAAGCTTTCATATTTGACCTTATACCCACTTCAGCCATAATGGCATAATGCTCCTCGCTGTAACAGGAATATTTGAGAGTATCAAAATAGTTTGGATTTTACATACAAGATTAAAAAGAAAGAAATATCAGACTTCAGACTCTGTCACATTGCCATCCTGCAAATCTATGCTCCTTTCCTCCAAACCTACCGAGCAGGGTGTTTTGTGTCAACTACCTCCTGCCACTGCACGTCAGGCACTGCACACCTCCGCAAGACTAAAGGGGCTTGGAACATGGGAAAACTCCATGCCATAAATCTTGGGAATCCCAGGGTGATGTGTTTAGAAATGTGAAGGAATTGGACACTCACTTTGTGAATGTTAATAGGCTACTTACTACCCATCTGGTAGAAGTGATAAATTAGCAGTACTGAGCAATATCCTTATAATGTTTACATTAGAAGTAGTTTCCAAGGAGCTCGGAGGGTTGGCAGGGTGAAGAAGCGGCATCCTTCAGTACCCACACAGGACCTTTCACCGCATGGTACATGTACTGGCGTGGAGCAAGGCAAAAGCAGAGACAGAAAACAAGAAATCACTAAGAGCAGCTGCTCTCTTTCTTTTCTGGCTAAAAAGCAAAATCCAAATGATGCTCATTCCTGCCTGCAGCCAGCACTTGTAATTTACTGTATATGATGGCCCCAGTCGTAGCTTCCAATAGAAACAACATAAAGTTTGAAGAACAACATGGAAAACAAAAGAAAATCTACAGAAAATTTGCCAATTAATTTGTTCTTTTTTATTCATCGACAGTATTTACTGGAAGACAGTTATTTTCCATAGTGTCTTTCATGTCTGGAAAAACCACAAAACCTATCATTTACGACACAAACTGTTTCTTTCTCACTAGATTATCAAATGCCGTATGAAAAAGCTGATGACTAACAAAGATGTGACTTTAGATAACAGATTACTCCCTGTAAGTATCTTTCCCTGTGGCAAGAGTTCTTGATGTTAAACACAGGACTCCAACTTCACTGCAATATTCAGCAGAAGGAAAAGGCAAGCTCTTATCCAACCACAAATATCCAACACAACAGCCAAAGGAAAACAAAGCAACTTGCCAACTAAATTGCACTCTTTTATAAATGGCCTCTCCTCTTTTTTCTTTTCTTTTTTTTTTCGCCCCCAAAGCCCCACTTCAGCACATTTAGACTGAACAAGAGCTTTCACCACACCGCTCAGCTCCTCCTCGGGCTGAAGTCAGAGCACGGGCTTTGGCAGGATGGGCTCCAGCAGACACCAGGTCCTGTGTGAGCACGAGCCTGCTTCCACACAGAGCACCTCCAAGCACTGCCAGGAGAGCTAACTTGTTACCTAGACTGAGTCTTGACTTCGTACCAGCCAGACTTTGACAAGCAGGAGAAAAGCTTTCTTCAAAACTTCCTAGCAATCTGAAGACTTCAACTGTGGTATGTATGTTTTGAGGGGAAAAAAAAAAAACAATGGAAAAAAAAAGGCATCAGACACCTAAATCAGAGAGGAAAGAGTGCTGTGCTGCCTGGCTCGTCTCTCTGCAAGAGAAGAGTTCCTCTCAAAGTGTAATTGTCATTTCCATTTCAATTGATTCCCATGGCAGGGAATGCTCCTTGGGGGATTTCTACAGCCTGACAGATCATGGGAATAGGAAAATTTTGCTGACGCTCAAACTACACTTCATTCAGTTTTGGTCCCATATTTCCAGATACACAGCTCAAGGCAGTCTGCTGATGCTTCTTGGTTATTCCAAAACTGTCTTTCCTATGTAGGAAATGACCACTTCTTATAACCATGTTCCAAAAACAAGGTCATGCCATGGACAGATACCCTCCTGCTCATGGTCACTGACTTGAGACCAATGGACTGATTCACACTAGTTAATAGACAGCACTGACTTACATTCACACACAGCAAGAGGCAAAGAAGTTCCCTGCCATTTAAATGTCAGTGGAGCAGACTGAGTTGTATTTAAGTCAACTTCCTTCATTTATTCAAACCGGACAGCTGGATGGAAGCACCAGCACCACCACACCTCGAGTTGCACACAGAGGGCAGGGCAGCAGCAGTAGCCCCGAAAAAAATGTCTACACTTGCTGTGGGTGCACTGCGTGTCTGAAGGGTGGCAATGCCACCCGTGGATGGATTAGCCCACCCCAGTGTTAGCGTGACGAGCACGTGTCAGGAACCACTGGGGACATTCATGCTGTGCTCATAGCTGCTGCTGTGCCACCACCCAGTCCCACAACAACCCTCCTTATCTCTCTAAAAAGGCTCTCCTCATGGCTCAGAAATGCATCCTCCAGGTTCAGGAACAGGCTTCTGCCCATGCCCGCAGCCACGCCACGCTGCCTGAAGGGTGGCTCCGAGGGGGACAGACCTGCCTCACCGGGGAGCTGCAGCCTGTGTGCTCTGCAAAACCATGCATCTCACCAGGATGAGCATTCCAGAGACAACAAACTGAATAAACAGAGATGCAAGTGTGACTCATGGGGATCCTCAAAGCTTTTCCACCCTCAGCAGGAAAGCTGCGGTGCTCTCTGCCCAAGGACATGTCGATGGGAGGCTTTGTCTTTTTCAGAGTATTTTTCTTCACAATCCATGCACATCCCAGGGTACACAGTACAGAGATTTTGATGATTACTCTTTCCTACTGTTGTTTTGTGGGATTAACTGCCTCCAAGACATAACAAATAATATTTTTTTTCTCCAACTCTAACAAAACTTGATAGAAAGCTCAAGGCTTCAGAGTTGCTGAGCTCAAGTCTATGTTGGTGACTGTCCATTTGGAAAGGCACCTCTCACGCTGTGTTTCCAGTTGTTCAATTATTCCGGCTGGGAACCAGACTATCACTAATGGAAAGTCTAAGTGTGGCAGACAAGGACAATGACTAAACACTCCAGACACCTAGGATGGAGCACGTACACCAAGGTACTCAGCCACGCCGGACACATTCCATATGGCGATGTAGTAAGCTGCAGGTTTTTGGGTCTTTTAGAAAAAAAATCTTGGCTATGAACCCGCCTGAACAATGCAGAGTTAAACATGGGAAATTTACCACTAAGATGATGTATCTAGTGTTTTTGTTAACTTTTCAAGCTCCCAAATCTAGATGGAGTATATTTTACTCCTATGAAAAATCTCCACGTAGAGCCCATAGGGTGCTGCATAAAAATACAGCACTAATTTTAGACAGGCAGAGTAAATTGTATTCACCACTCTAAAAGGCAAAACCAAACCAAATCAGAAAAAGTAGTAAAAATACTTTGAATACGAAGTCTTTGATATCATTCCACTTGGCAAAGAGCACTTTTCTACTGACTTCAACCCCCATTTTTTCAGCTTCTAGAAATATTCTTCCCCCTCCCCCAAAAGATCCTCCATTTAATGGACAAAAAAAGTGTTTAAAAGAAAACAAAAGCAACTTTGATTTTTTTCCCTCTGTAATTCAGCCCTGTAAACTTCAGCTCTTTTATACGAGCCCCTGAGCTGCTTCACACAGAGCTACCTTTTCTTTTCACTTCTCACTGCAAACGCATAGGCTCTTCCCCTGTGTGCTAGAACTGAAAGCAATCATAAAGAATTGCAGGTCTGACCTAAGCGTTCTGCGTCTGGACATGCTCTGCATGCAGTTATTAACTGCAGCATGGAGGGGAGGCTCAGCCTTACCTTCTTCATCTCTTTCTTTGTCCAGAGAAGCTGAAGGGCTTTCAGCAATAGGAGTGAGTCCTGGCCTGGAGGAGGGGGAAGAGAGAGAGAGGGAGAGAGAGAAAAGAAGGGAGAAAAACAAAACAAAACAGATTTATTGGCTCTGTACAGGCAGCCCAGACACACTGGTGCATTGTTTCACCGAAGGGAAATCAGCTACTCCATGCCACTGTGTTTGAAACCACCAACCTTCCAACTGTCAGTCAGGATTAGAGTGCTAAAATCCCTCACTCTGAAATCCTAACAAAATAACAGACATCATCCATGCATGGCTTTAACTAAACACCCACACGGGCTCAAATACTGAAAAGCTGTATTGGTGCATTTACAACTAAATCATGCTGCTGCTATGCATCAAATACATCCCCACCAGTCCCTCCACCATTCTCCCCTTTTAATATTAAAACAAAATGTTCCTACAAGAGTAAGCATCTTCCACAGGTTGGAAAGGATTATCAACACACTGATTTTGAATGAAATGGCTCTACAGTGTTAACCTCACTGCAACCTGTGGATAGAAGATGCGAGTGGTTGAATTTATGGGAAGATCAGCCTCTATTTGCTTGGCAAGCGCCGAGCAGCCTTTGTGTGCTGGAGAGCCCAGGCTGCAGCCAGCCTCAGGGCTGGCCCAGCGCTGACACCACTTGGGCAAGATGGTGTCTGAGGAAGAGGAAAGGTGAAATGCTGCTGTGATTAGTGGCAAGGGTAAAAAAAAAAAAAAAAAAAAAAAAAAAAAAAAAAAAGCGATCAGTTATTTTTTTAAAAAAAAAGTTCTCTGGAATTTTTCTCTTTTGCTTTTCACATAGTTATTTGAGAACCTGTGCATTCAGTCATCATTTTGTATCTATTATCATTTATCATACCATTACTCACCATACCAGTATTTCTGAAACAAATGTTTAGGAATATTTCATTTATAAAGAAGTAACATTTTTGATATTTGGTTCTACTTAATCTGCAATCATTTACTTGCAAAGCCATGACACAGAATATTCCGAATGAAAATATTCTAGTGTATCAACAGTTTAAATGAGAAGAATGAATTTAAACACCTGACTGGGTTCTCCAAAAACACTCCTTGTATATTTAGTGCACCTCTTTTTATGTTTTCATAAAGCCAAAAGAAATGTTAAACTGAAAAGGAAACATTCTTTCAATCACCTTCTGTGTTCTACAGTTCCTAAATAGCCCATTTTCAAATGCTAGATTTCTTGCTTAGTATCCGATCTCACTTCATATTTCAGGTCACAGAAAGCTACTTCAACTGTGAAAAGTTCTACTTCATCCAACTAAACTCTGAAGCACTGCATTTATAAAATATTTTAAGTAGCAAACTGATTACTGGTCGAGACAAGAGAATGATTATCCACTAACCTCTGAGAAACACCAACCAAATTAAAAATGCCACATTTACTATTTGTAAGATAATGTTTTCTCTCATCTCTGGTTGTTCTGAAATCTTGAGCTCTCCAAACACTAGCTGTTCTCAGCTACTGCTGCTCCTTTGTAAAAATAAAAGTGTCTTTTTACAACAAAACAGAAAAAAATCCAGATCACTTCTGTCCACAAAATTAGCAACTAACAGTTAAATTCAGTCCATGTGTGTGTACATGCATATATACATACTCTCCTCTTGGCCTGACTCCCAAAGAAATTTCTACACACACAGGAAAAAAAATTAGAACGCAACCCAGTGTGTAACCAAATACACTGTAAATCTGAACTATAATTAATGCAGTGAACAAGCTGGAATGATACAGGAAATGAGAGCAGTTAGGAAAGCAGTGTTTCACTTCAGATACAGCCAATAATTCAACTTGTTAAAAAGCTTTCTAAACCTCAACCAACAAAACAAGCCCTTTTCTTACGTGACTTTTTCCTACCTTACCTCCCTGTAACTGAAATCCAATCTCACCGTTTTTTCAATACATAGATGGATGAAAACCATCTCTCCAGTCAATTTCAAGCGACTCAGCACGTTGCCAGCATGCCACTGTGCCAGCACAGGTAAGTAGGGAACAACTTTCCCCAAAGCCTGGAAGCGAACGCACCCACAGTGTGGTTATCTCCGTGAAACGTCCTGGGGTGCTGCCGGGCACCAAGGCCAGTGCCAAACCGCTGGGGAGGGGTAACCACCTGCCTTCTGGCATGACTCCACCAGAGGTTTTGCTCTCTGTTCAGTCTGTGCAGTTCCCACTCAATTCTCCAGAACGGGGATTGAAGGAGGAGAGAAAACACTGAAATATTAACCGTGGTAGGCTGGTGTCAGAACAGTGCTGCTTCCTTCCTTACCTGGTAAAGCATTATAAGTATCTAAGGATGAGAGTAGTCAGAAGCTAAATGTAACAAAATAACCCACAAACAGGCACTCCTAGGGCCAAACATAAATGAGACAGCAAAGCAACATTATGGTTTTGCCCAGTCCCACCAGAGTGCAAAGATGCTGCAGTTCATGTTGGACCCTGAGTTACTGTATCTAGCTCCCCTCCAGCTAGGACAGAAGATGTAAATGTGATAGTCTACATCATTTTGGCTCCTGAAAGAAATGAACAATTCATCCTTTCCTTCTCCTGCAGAACCTCTTTGGGGGACTGGCCTCCTCGTGGTTCTCCTGGCACCCTTGAAGAGTGAAAAATATGAGTGTCTTTGGCACGGATACTCAAGCAATAACAGTACTGTTGTGTTCCCACTGGACTACCAGACACATCCCTGTTCATCCACATGCAAGAAGGAGGCAGAGAAGCAGCAAGAGACTAATGCCAGGATAGCCAAGGAAAAAGGATAGGACCTTACATGGAGTTTCATAAACCTTCCAGAACAAATCTGGAGAGCAGACAATTGCTCAACACAAAAGGGAGAGAGGAAGAAACACAAGGGAAGGAAGAACAAAGCAAAGTGACTGAAAACCAAATGGTCATAACTGAACCAAAATTGCATCTGGGCTCAACTTGGACGACAAGAACAGGAAAATTCTGGAGTGACCTCCAGACACTGTAGTAGGAGCAAGAAGCAGCAGTTACTAAGACACATGTATTAAAACAGCCTGTAAAAGCAAGGAAAGATCATGGAGGCCAGAAAAACTCCTTCATGTGCCACACCAAGAACACCCAGAATCTCCACTTGTAAAGAAAAATTAAACTCTGCAGAGACTCCTACATATTGAAGAGATCTCCAGCTATTAGCAAGTGTCATTCAATGAGCAAAACAAACAAAACAAGGACGAGACCATGTAAAACAGCGTAAAAAACCAGTGTGGCAAATGGGAGAGCATCAGCTCGCTCTGCTCCCAGGCCGGGGCCAGCCGGGTCTGCCACGCTGGAGAGGCCGAGGCGGGCCCCAGGCAGCTGGCCCCGTTCAGTTCCTACATCAAGCTTGGAGAGAACATGCTCAGCCTGACACCAAACCTTCACAGCTCCAATAAAGGGGGTTGCAGACTGTAAAAATATCTAGCAAAGCTTCACCAAAACAAGGTTATAGCACTTTGGTGGAGATTTCAAAAACACATATCTGCACCCACTCCATCAAGTTACAAATTACCTTGATTTCTTCATCTGACAGTTTCTCCAAATAGTATGTACCTGTTTTAAAAATTCTGACATTAATATATTTCCTTTCAGCATTTTTCATTCTGAAAATAAATTTCCTCTGCCCTGAATCTGGTACCAAAATTGGAGGAGATGGTAAATCAAATGCTTTCCAGTTCTCAATATCTGTGGTTACGCTTCAAAACCATATAAACCACAAGGCTTATATTTTTGAGTTTGAAAAGTGCCTTTGAGGAAAGCCATAAAGTACTTTCTGTTCATTCTCTCCTTTTCCTTTGCACATACATCACTCAAAACCCGCTGTGATCACAACAAAAGCAGTGCCCGCAGGCTGGTGAGGTAAAGCAGTGGTTTTGCTATTGCGTCCTTGCAAAATTCTGCTGCATTATTCACCGGTTCTGCTGAAACGCCCTGGCAAGAGAAACCCACTTTCTGACTGAGGCTCCTTGTGTGTGTCACATGGGGAAAGTGAGACATCCAACCCCAGAGGAGGATTTTACCAGTGAAAAAAATCTCTCAACACTTTTTCTTTGTGTCAAAAGTCATTAAACACGCCATGGCCCAAGACCTGGAAGAATTACAGTCAACTAATTAAAAGATACAGAATGAAGAAAAAAAAATAGCAACCCCAAAAAAAGGAGGTCAATGCAACTGAAATGCAGGATCACATCCACAAAACAGTCAATTACAGTTGAAATTCATGGACAGAAAAGGTCGAGAACAAAATGCTAATGGTTAAGTCTTCTTTAGGCAGACAGCTTATACCTCTGCCTTGCAAATTAACAGGATTTTAATAAATGTTTAATGGAATAGATAACAAATCCAAACCACCCAATAAACATTCAGTGAGGTTTTGCTATTTACCTATTGTTTTGTGTGCCCTCTGCCTCAATAAATCCCTGAAATCTGTCCTTTGTGAAAACTCCTGTTAATCTAAACAAGCCTTTGAGATATCTTTCTGAAAGGAAAATAAAGGTTCTAGATATTTCAATGTCACCATAAGTGCAGCTATCTCATTTTCACTTAAAAACTAAAATATATAAATGTATAGGTGATGCATAAACTGAGGATGGGTGGAGGAGGGGAGGTATTCAGCCAACTCTTGTTTCAGCAGCATGATGAGTAAACCCAGTGCTGTGTATTTTAAATTACATCGGAAAACCAACAAATAGTATGGTATGTGGATTAAGAATTAATCAAAATCTCTTATCAAAACTTACTTTGTCTCATTTTTTTTCCAAAAAGTGTCTGTAGTTCACACCCAGTGTGTGCTAATTTTGTGTAAGAGAAGGCTGATAGGGAACAGAAATAATATGACTTTGAAAAAATGAACAGATGCATTTTCTAGTGACAAATATTGAATCTCTATGAACAGGATGATTTAGTTAAAAAGATACAAAATTCCTCCATAGAAACTCACATATTTTTACACCTAGGTTTTCTTGCTTTACCTACTTTTAATGAACACACATAACATAAATAAACCTTCCAATTTTGTTTAAGTATTTTTGAGCTTGAGAAAATGATTCCACACAGAATTTCTCCTAACAATGTGAAATAACATTTAAAAGACACAAAACCAATTTTAGAGTATACAGGTATTATGCAATATGCACTGTAAAACTCTGGGTTGTAATGAAAAAAAAAGAGGAAGTAGATACAATAAAGAAGCAAAAGGTAAAGTGCTATATTATTTTAAAATAAGTAGAAACACTTCAGAAAAAGCATGTATACGTGAATACACGGGTATTAGACAGTGGGGCATGGTTGCGCCATTCTCCTTTTGCTTTGTAGGAGGCTTTTTCAGTAATTTATTCTTACTTGGATTTATCCCAGGGTCTGGGGAGAGATATCTACCATGCTACATAACCATGGAGTGGGTTAAAGATGTCATACATACTAGAATTAACGGTCACTAATCAAAACAGATATGATATTATCACTTTTTTCCTTAAAACAGGATTATGCTATTGCAGCAGTGTTTGGCCCTGCCACATTATCCCTGCCTCATGCTGAAGACTCACCTTCAAGAGTTGCTTAACCCTCTGTTAAGGGGGCCTGAGGCCTCCAACAAATCTAGGGTTGAATCAGGAAAATCTCTTTGAAAATAGTTAGAAATTCAGATGACAAGAGACCACCCACTGCCCCAGAGCATCCCTAAAAAGCATGATCCCCAGATCTGGGAGCTTTGGGCAACTTCTTGCTTATTACTGTATGTGTTGAAATAACAGCTGTGTTTCCATGGCAGGTGTATCCAGTTAAAACATACCCTCTCTTCCTTGGTTTCAGAGGGAAGGAAGAGCAAAGGGTAATCAGTGCATCAGAAGCTGCAAAAGACAGAAGTGGGACACGTTTTTTTTTTAGCCAGTCAGAACTTGATAGATACAATATCCTGAGAAGTGGGTTTGTCGATATTGCTGCTCTATCCCACTTGTACCAATCCATTCTTCATTTCTTATTGAGAACACGTGTTCTAAATGACATTTAATGGCATTGCCATAATTTGCCTGTATTTTTGCAAACAGTGCCAGGGATCGTATTTCCTACTTCACTCACCATGAAATGTAACCTCTGCTTGCTTCGTATCCACACTGACATGGGAGTACAGCTGAGACAGCCACTGCTTTCTGCAAACACAACATCAGCCTTTCCCCGTTCTAATTCAATTCACTTTCAGAATATAAAAGTCACAAATAGTTTTGTTTAATAGACATCACACCGTACCAAGTAAGTTATAACTGGGAGTGGAGAGAAGAGGTATAAAAATGTAGTTTTCCCCATAAAGAATCAAAAAATGAACAACTTAGCAAGCAGCCAAGAAGACAGAGCTCCAAACTAGCAAGAAACCATTGTAAGAAGACCAGTACCAAAGCAAGGGCTTTAGCAACCCTCTGGCAACCCCCAATGTTTGCCCTGCATTTCCTCCCACTTCCATGCCCCAAAGCACATGTCGCTTCAGTGAGCTCTGGGTCCACCCCTAAGCCGTGGCTGCGGGGCCGGCACACACTCGGCGTGTGGGAGTGGGTGTCTGTGGGTGCTGCTGGAGCACCTGGGGCCCAGATGACCACAGTACTTCTCCCCAAATTGGCGCCCGTCAATCGGGCTCTTAGGGATGGGGATGTGAGCATGGATCTGCGCAGGCAGTGCACCCCGCGCATCAATTATCTAATGAGTGTCCATGTCGCCTTCCAAGTTCACATGAACCAAGGGAGTCTATGGCTCTTGGATACCTTGTCATTACCAGTTAAATTGTCTCCAGCTGTCTTAAGGGAGATTGATTTTTTCAGGAATATCACTCACATTCCAGTAACAACATGACCAGGATGAACTTCCATCACACGCTTCTAAACGCATCTGTAAACTAGCACCATCTTGGGGATGGGAAGGATTTTCACTCACAAGAGTGTCCCCTCCTATTTCAGAGGCACCTGCACCAATGGAGTCAAAGGCTCTTTAATAATTTCTCATGGCAGAGCCCGTGTCTTAGGAAAAAAAGAGATATTTCCAGGAATAATAGCAGTTCACTTCCAAGAACACTATGACTAAGGAGTAACCACTCAGTGATTCATCCCACCAACTGCAGTGATGAGACTCCCACTAAGAATAAAAGCACCCCAGAGCCATTCACTCAAAGGGAAATGCCTCAGGTAGCAGTGTCTGCAGACAGGCAGAGGAATGCTGCCATGTTACAGCTTCATCAAATGTTAATTACATCCCACCACTGAATCCCCCAGTGCAAAATTTACAAAAGGATCAGATGTCACAAAACTATTTCATTTCAGAAGCAATAAATTGCTCTGCTTTAGCACAATTTCCAGGGCTCCAAAACTCACTCACCATCCCAACTACCAATTCCTTAACTGCGTCTCCCACAGAAGACAAATATCCTTTTAAAATGTGGGTTTAACTGAATTCAAACAACAAGGAAATAACACAAGAAGACAGAGAGGGTCCTTCTTTATAAGGTATGTCTGGCTCACTCCAGCCTTTGGCTCAGTTTCCAATTTTAGCTACAGCTTTCTGATCAACGGAGCTTTGAACTCCACCACACAGAACGCTTCAGACCTCAGAAGGGAAGTAACCACACACAGCTACTGCAGTCTTAAAAACTCCATATGCCACACACCTCCCCTATAATTTTAACATTAAGGATTTAGCCTTTTGGGAGGTCGGTGAGTCTAGGTTCACCAAAGGAGAAGTATTTATTACTTGTTCCTCCAGTTCTTCAGTCACACATTCGGATTCACTTTCTGCACCAGCACCACCAGTGGAAGAATCTGCATCAAACAGGAGGGAAAACCAGAAAAAAAATGATGTCATCTACCTGGACTTGGGCAAAGAATTTCACACTGTCCTGCATTACATCCTTGACTCTAAATTGGAGAGACATGTCTTTGATGGACAGCACACGTGGTAGATAAGGAATTGGCTGGATGGTGGCACTCAAACAGTTGTGGTCAGAGGTTTGATGTCCAAGAGGAGAGCGGGGACGAGTGGTGTTCCTCAGGGGTCAGCGTTGGGCCTGGTGCTGCTTAACATCTCCGTAGGTGACAAGGACAGTGGGATCGATGTACCCACAGCAGGCTCACTGATGACCCCGAGCTGTGTGGTGTGGGGACACGCTGGAGGGCAGGGACGGCATCCCGAGGGGCCTGGGCAGGCGGGCCCGTGCACACCTCACGAAGTCCAGCAAGGCCAAGGGCAAGGTCCTGCACATGGGTCGGGGCAATCCCAAGCACAAATACAGGCTGGGTAAAGAGTGGATTGAGAGCAGAGAGTCCTGCAGAGAAGGACTTAGGGGTATTAGTGGATGGAAAACTGACCGTAAGCCAGCAACGTGCGCTTGAAGCCCAGAAAGCCAACTGTGTCCTGGGCTGCAGGCAGAGCAGGGGGGGCAGCAGGGCCAGGGAGGGGATTCTCCCCCTCTGCTCTGCTCTGGGGAGACCCCCCTGCAGTGCTGGGGCCAGCTCGGGGGCCCCCAACAGCAGAAGGACACGGAGCTGCTCGAGCGGGGCCAGAGGAGGCCACGGAGATGCTGGGGGGGCTGGAGCAGCTCCCCTGGGGGGCCGGGCTGAGAGAGTTGGGGGGGTTCAGCCTGGAGAAGAGAAGGCTCCGGGGAGCCCTTCGAGCGGCCTCCCAGGGCTTAAAGGGGGAGCAGGAGAGAGGGGGAGGGACTCTGGATCAGGGGTTGTGGGGATAGGACAAGGGGTAACGGTTTTAAACTGAAAGAGGGGAGATTTAGATTAGATATAAGGAAGAAATGATTTACTGTGAGGGTGGTGAGACACTGGAACAGATTGCCCAGCAAAGCTATGTCTTCCCCCTCCCTGGAAGGGCCCGAGGCCAGGTTGGTTGGGGCTTTGAGGACCCTGATCTAGTAGAAAGTATCCCTGGCCATGGCAGGGGGGTTTGAACCAGATAATCTTTAAGGTCCCTTCCAACCCAAACTAGTCTATGATTTCATGATTTAAAAAAAATCCCCAAATTCAATAAGTTCCTCACTTGAAATCAACTGATTCTAAACATTGACTCATTTTCAGTAGCCAGTATCCTCATTTAACATAAACAATTCCTTATTTCTCCATTTTTCAACCAGCTGTGGCCATTCTGATACATATTTTCCAGCCCTGTAATGCCTTTACATGATAGTCACCTCCTGCCTGTCAGGGGAGAGGAGATCTGTAGGCCATGGCTGCGTTTCCCCTGCAGTCTCTCTACAGCAGATGAAGTACCCTATCACAGGGTTAGCTCTACTAATTGTATTTTCTCTAATATCCTTGCAAAAGCTTATCACGAAGCACTCAACCATGCATTCAATGCTGATTTCATGTTTCCCATTTGATTCTTCTAGAGAAAAGCTGGAATGCCATTAACTGAGTGCACCCCTTCATGATTTTAAGCCATACCTTGGTCTGTACTGCTGACTACATCATTACTGAAAAGTCAAAATGTAGAGATCAAACAGAAATACAGCTGGAGAATGAGCTGCACAGGCAGGACACTGAGAAAGAGAAACTGCCATGCTGGAGAGGAGAAAGGGAAATGAAGAATAGTGGGTAGAGTAAAAGCGTATTGAAAGCAATACAAGTTTTTCTAGAAAAAGAATCTGGTCTTTCTCATTGGCAGTAAAAGTCATTCTTTAACTAAGGGCAGAAGAGATCCCTTCCATTCTGAGAAATCTGAGTTATGAAAACATAATAGGAAACCTCACAATTTCGCTAATACATGCTCTATTTCTCAGTGAGTCAGAAGTTCACATTCTTTTAAGGCAACCTCCCAACTGAAAACAATCCCCACACTTCAAGCAAAAGAATAATAAAGCACACATATGCTTCTTATAAAAAAATCCTTACAAATAACCACAGCTTTTGTTTTCATAATGGCTAAAATTCAGCATTTCCCTCCCAAAAAACACAGATCAAACAAAATGCACTCTCATTAAAAGAAAAGGCTTGCTTGTCTGAGCAGAACAGCCAATAATATTTTCCTCCTCTTTTCTTAGTGCTTTTTGTCAATGAAGAGAATGGAGAGCTGCTTACCAGACACCGCAGTGTAAGGCAGGCAGGCTCAGCCCACCTCCATCCCTGGTGCTCCAAACAAGAGCCTTCCTCCCCCCCCACATCAGCCCCAGGGGCACTCACATTCCTCTCCCACCCTGCATACAGACACCTGAGCAGCAACATCTAGGCTTTGCACGTGGCACGACATTAGAAGATGCCCTTCTGATCTGGTGCCAACTAAAGAAATAAAAATTAAACCTATCCAAGAAGTTACCCAGCTTTGGGAACATCCTCGCACAGTACCCGAGATGACCCACTCTCTGGGAGCAGAGCCGTCCCTTCCCCTTGCACAGTGGCAGAGGAGAGCATCTGACACCATCGGTCTGAAGACACACGTGGGTCATCACCTCAAGCAAACAGAAGTCATTCCTGGACACTTACAATACACCCCGGCGTTGTAGCCCATACAAATGTTTCTCATCAAGCACAAGGACGACTAATCACGGCTTCTATTGTGTAAGCCTGATACGATGTAGGCCTTGCTAACTACCATGCTGTTGAAGCAGAGCTGAGAGACTAATAAGAGGCAAACATCCTGCCCCAGAAGGCACCAGAGGCTGGATGACTGCCCAAGAAGCGTGAAGCCAGCAAAAAAACCTGGGGGAACCTGCCCCCCCCACCTGTAAGGAGCGTGTGTGCTAATTTACAGAGCAAGCAAGGCTAATTCAAATATAACTAACCAGTAACAAACAGAATTGGTAATTATGGACCACCAAGTATAAACTTAGATAGGTTTTTACTAATCATGTAACAAGATAAATAGGCTGTAGTTCCTTTGTGTGTTGGGCTAGCTTTGTGGAATCACCACCTAGCACCCATCTTTGTGAAACTACGGAATAACCTGGTATTTCGGCTTTGTATGGGAGATTAGCTTTTGCACACCTGGTAATGAACCCTGTTTGAAGGACAACAGCATAACAAGAAGTGCATATATTTTTACGTAAGCAGCAGTTCTAAAAATAACGCCAAGAAGTTGCTTTCTAGGCAGGTAATGAAATCTAAATTAACAAAAGTCTAAAAATGCAACAATTGTAAACCTTTTGCAAGTGATTGGCAACACACAATGATTTCCTCATCAGTTAGATGGGCTATAACCTCTCTATCAAGCATCAAGCAGTGCACTCCCTCATTCTCTCTTGATTTTTACATCCTCTCCCCACATCTCCACCGCCAGGCACAGCCAGAGGGGCGACTGAAGACACAGAGCATGGTGGATCCCCATCCTGCTGAAACCATGGCTTGTAATCTTGTGTTCAAAGCTATTTAAGCAAGAAACACAGTTTCATCATACAGTATTTCTTTTCCTCCAAAAATTTAGCCAAGCTATTTTTACTTACTTTAGCCAACAGCTTGAAGCATTTTTTCAGCGATAAATAGTTTTTGTTCCCATAAAACATTTCAGTGTTGAGAAGCGAGTCACCACGCTCCCAGAAGCACTGACAACACTCACAGCTCTGGAATGAGCCATTTCTCCCATCCCACTGCTGAGAGCTGGGGCTGTCTTACCTCACCTTCACCAGCCCAGGAACAGAAGGGATCTGTCACAGCCAGGGCAGAAGGCAATGTCCCTACACTCAGTTAATGGCACTTTCACAGAAACGGAAATTCAAGAGTTTAAAAACAGCACTCCAGAAGACCAACAATTTCTTCTTTCAAGCTTATCAATCCTGAAAGGTGAAGAAAACTAATATTGTCCAGGATAAATGGGGGGACTTCTTACATCTCTCCTTATTTTCTGGCTACTTACTACTGAGGCAGTCAGGAACAGCAGCCGTAGCAGTAGACTGTAGTCTAGCAGAGTACAGCCCTACCCGTATTCTAGCAGACTGAACTGCAGTTTGGGAAAGAAGCATCAGATGCAGAGTGCTATCATAGATCTAAAAAGATAGATAGATAGATAGATAGATAGATAGATAGATAGATAGATAGATAGATAGATAGATAGATAGATAGATAGATAGATAGATAGATAGATAGATAGATAGATAGATTTATTTATATATATATATATATTCCCCCCCCCCCCCCAGACATCTCTGGAAATCCCCAAGTTCTAAACCTAAGAACCTTTAACTGTTTCTCCTAAGTAGTTTTCCACGAAAAAAGCCAACTGTTAATACTAAAAAGTCATAGTACATGTTTTGTAGCCATCCAACTTCCTTTTCAGAACAGTAACAGTAGTTTGATTCTTGTTTAAACACCACTCCCACATCTTCTTCTACTAGTTCCTCACTTCAGCGTACTTCAGAAGTATCAGAGATGACGAATGGGGGCCAGAGCCTCTCCCTTCCTGAGGGGGACGTGCACAGTCGTGTCGCTGACCTCCACCCGTACGGACCAGGTAACCAGGCTCTTTACAGAACCAAAAGTGCTACAGCTTCATCCCCGCCAGCAAGGTGAAAGGCACCAAGGGCATCCTGCTTCCCCTGTCTCCTAAGGATTTCTATTTCTCCTATCTACACAGTTCCATAACTGGCACAGCCGAGTCAGGTATTTAATATCAGACACATAATTTGTTTTTATCTGTGGCTGCATAACCCAAACACTCAATGAAATCTGTAGGTTAGACCTATGTAACACAGCTTGAGCCTGAAGAACACTTCATCTTTTCTGTCAGTATTTCAGAATCATATTAAAATAACCCTTTCAGTAAAGTAGAAATCTACTTTTTTTGTTTTTTAACTAGTTGAGACCACTCAGATCACTGAAGATAGATA